ACATGGCTTCTTCTCATTAATTTTATTTTTATAAGAATATATATTCTTTGTTATAGTTGAGTTTTTCTTGAAAATCATACATTCATATTTTCTTATCTTGTTGAACAAATCAGTAGTGTTGTTGAGTTCGTCCCTGTTTAACTTATTCAAGATAAAACTAGGTAAACCAGTTGCAATTAGATCTATCATTGTTCTGGAATCTATCGATTTATTTATATCTAGTATAAGCCGTTCTTTTTTTATAGCATAATCAATTAACAGCCCTTCTTTATACTTGAATGTGAAAGCAGTTGTGACTACATCCCACCCTTGGTTCCTAAAAGTTTCTAAAAATTTGTCTTTCCATTCATTCCATTCAGAATTTACTGATAGTTTAATTACCATCGAGCTATACCAATCCAAACTGGAGTTTTCTAAAAATAATCTCAATATATCTATTTTTGTTTCATCTTTTGTTATATTAAAACGCTCACACTCTTTTTCAAAATTCTCTATCCATTGCACTGCATTAGGATTCTTACTTGTGAATTTTTCGATAATAAATTTCTCTGAAACATGTTTTAAATTATGTTGATTTTCTTTTTTGTTGTAGATTCTATTAATTTTTCCAGGATATGTTGCAAATTATCATCATTGCCTCTTGGTTGTTTTGTGCTCATTTCCTCTAAATATTGATCTAAAAATTGCATATTACCTTCCTCATCTATATATGTTTTCTTTAGATCTTCATCTAATTTTACCCATATCTTTCTGCTTTGGTGCCTTTTCTTTATACTATTTTTTATTTTTGAAAAAGTGTTCAATTTAACTATATATGTATGATGAATCACCGGCTTCAATTCATCAGGTAAAACATAACATTTTCCTTCTTCTGTCAATATTGAAGTTATGGCCAATATATTAGATTTGCCATCGATTGAGGCCATCATCGTGAACTCAAATTGCAGCCGGTCCATCTTTTAGTTAACAAAAATGTCGTTTTATAAAGGAATATTATTATGGATTTTTTCTAAATGAAAACACAAAATTGTTTCTCTGAAATACAAAGAAACGACGATTATTAAAATATTTGTACATTTGTATGTGGTACAGCTACATTGGAGTCATTGTTTGTTTGACTTCAGCCTGATGGGCCGGCTTAACCAGTGCGATATTAAATTAGATTAAGTTTTGATAATTGTAATAAACATAGTAGTTGGGTATTGTTTGTAATAAAAGTTTTAAATTGATATAAACGGAGACATACAGTAAGCACTTGGTATTATTCAACCACATCAACAGTTCCATTCTATGTAGTAGCCCAGATTAGAATGATTTAATGCCCTAAAACGGCTTTTTATTGTAATAGCAATATTTTTAAGTTTATAAAGCAAACTATGTAAATACTCACTAGGATGTCATGACTTTCTCTAGATGGACTACACTGTTTGTCTCTTAATGATGGGAATGGGAAAGTATACTTTGAGCATCAGATGGAATAACAAACTTGTTAAGTCTTTTCCTGTTGCTGCTGGTGTTTGCCACATACCAAACATAGTCCTATGCTGTGCATACACCTTTTCTAATGATTCATCGGATGTCCAATCACCATCAGAAAAACAAAATTTAGCCCAAACTTTAGCCCTGTAAAATGAGGTTTTCATTGTACATACAGGTATAAAGTAGTTTTACTTTAAATTAAAAAACGTAGTTCTAAGCAATCTTCAAAATAATATTAAGGTGGTACACTTTAAGAGGACGTGTATCTAAACTAAATGTTTGATTTACTTATTTCAGAGACCCATGCTTGGACGGAGGAAACCTAAGGAAGGTTAAGGAAAAATCTTCTTTTGATGTTAATTGTTTTGCCACATTTTGAGCATTTTAAATTTTTTTCCCTACCATGTTTTGGCAAAGCACAAAACAAAAGCGTCAATATAGCACAGTAATTATTTCTTTATTGTTGGTATAACAACACAAAAGCGTCAATTTTGCACTGGAGTCTCTTCGTAATTGAAGATTATACAGCCCAATTAGTATTTTTGCAGTAGGTCTCTTTTCAGTAAGAACTATTTACATTAATTCAAACACTGAACTTTTGTAAATGAATCGGGTCACGGGTGGTAGAAAAGAAAGTAGAAACCGCAAAACAATTTTGAGATTTTCACTTAACAACTTTTTTTTTTGGAGTTTATGGCCTGGTTTTAGGCCAAACTTCACAACTTATTTTTTTATTTTAATTTATTATTTATTAGCCGCGAGAACTTCTTACAACTCGCGCGAACAACGTCGCGTCGCGTCGGTCAACAATAAACTTTTATAATAGAATTGCGTGTGTAATTGGTCTTAATTTTGTAATCAGTGATTGTAGGTACACTACGAATTCGTTATTGAGTTAGTGAAATAATCTATTGTTATACGTCTAAACGCAAAATCTTAGTCGAACATTAAAGTGAACACTTTTGGATCTACCCGCAAATTTTATATTATTAATTAAAATGAATATTAACTATTTCGTGTGTGTGGATTTTCATCTTTAACTCATCGAGATGCAGAATGGAGGTAGCTGAAAGTGTGAAATTGGCTACCGAAGACGCCAAGAGGGTGGGTACCCAGGCCCCCGTGACAGTGAATGCTACTGTTCAAAGTAAGAAATATGTACAACAAGCCTTCCATACAAGCCTGTTTATAAGACAGAGAAGTATAAAAGTATACGCTCAGAAGTACAAGACTAGGCTGGAAAATCATCCTAACCATCTAGCTGTTCAACTCACCCTACCGGAGTATATAAACCGACTCAAAAGACGAAGAACCCTAGAGCTCAGCAGCATTGACTGAGCTAATATTATTATGGTAGATATTCCTAATGAGGAATATCTCCACCCGCAAATTATCCTACAACTCATCTGCTCATAGTCAGAAGACTGATTGCACGATGCGCTCTATAAATAAAATTTATTAGCCGGATACAAAGTCTATTGGCACAACTTATTTTGTACATAGTGTTACTATTAAACATAAACCTGAAGTCCCTTGAATAAAATACAAAATAAAATAGTAAAAAAAGGTTTTTTTGAAGTTATACTTCTTTAGGCGCGTTATGAAAAATTGATGAGAGTGAAATTTTACGATGCGCGCGCACCCTGACATAAAATTAACAGAATGAAGTTGCCCACGGAAGATGCTACGGCATTCGACCTAATTTAAAAACAACATTCGAATAATAATAGAATTTATGTTACACTTAATGTAAGAGAATAATAATAATAAATATATTTTATTTATTTAATTTTTCAAATGTAAACTGAACTTTATTGACTATAATGACTCCTTTTCCAGTCTTTGATTATTTAATTGTAATTAATTATTTGCATGCAATCAAAAACTATTTTTTATAGATTAGAAGTTACACTTCTTTGGCATTATTAATATATATATATATAATAATACATATATATATATATATGTATTATTATATAAGCTACAGAAACCAATACGGACTCCCGTTCGATTGGCTGTACTGAATATGTTCTTACTGAAGTTTTCCCTTATTTAATACATGTTAAACGTACACAAAGTTCAGCATTCTCCATCCTGTAACATTTGGCAATTTTTTAAAGAAGAACAAATTTAATAATATTATTCCCGGAAGTGTAAAGCGTATAGGAAGAAACAGGTGCGTTGTTGGCTTTTCCGATTATAAAGACGCCAATAATTTTCTTAACTGCAATTTTTTGGAAACGAAAAAGTTAAAAGCCTTCATTCCCACTTACAGCGTAACAAGAATGGGTCTAGTTCGCGGGGTCCCTATAGATTGTCGTGGAGGAAGTTCAACAAAATGTATCCGTTATACCTATAGGCTGCGGCAATACTTAAAATAAGACGTTTGAATCGCAAGGTGAAAATTAATGACTCGGTTTCTTGGAGACCATCTGAATCAGTAGTAATAACATTTGATGGGCAAGTTATACCAAAAAGGATTTTCATGTGCTATAATGCTCTTCCAGTAGAGATAGATATTTATCCTACGATACAATGCTATAAATGCTGCCGTTATGGTTATACCAAAGTTCAATGTCATTCTAAGACTCCAATATGTTATAATCATTGTGGAGTCAACATGCAGGTGTATCATGTGACAGGTCAAATGAAGATCCTCTGTACTGTGTAATGTGTGAAGTCGAAGCCCGAAGGGTCCCATTCAGCGAACCAAGTAAGGATCTTTAAAATATTCTGAATTCTTGATAAATACTCAAATTGTTGCGTTCGTTGCGTTTGCGTTTCTAAAATTATTATAAACGCAAACGGCCATTTTCAATGTTGATTTTAGCAGACCAGTGAAGTGTTACAGTGCAGAATATGCGTTAGAAATACTAATAGAAATAATAGTTTTTTTTATTAACCCCCAATTCGGGCGACGTAATTCTAAATCGTTACCCAAAGCCATGCCTCTGACATTTTGCTTTTAATTTGTAATTCAGGAGGTGGATTTGGCAATAACCGAGGTGGTCCTGGTGGTATGAGAGACTGGGGGCTTTGCACCTCGCGGAGACAGGGGTGGCCCACACATGAGGGGTGAGTTTAAATGCAATAATTACATCAATGCAGCTAACATATTATGTATATTCTATAAGCTTTTAAAAGACTCACCATTTAATGCATATTGAACAAGAATTACAATTTTGAATTAGGTAGTATTTGGCTTCACATTATTTAATATCCATATTAAATTCAGCTGTAATAGGTTATAAAGTCAGGCAAGCTTTGTTTTGTGTCTGTTCTTTATTGTTTTGTAAGATGTAAATAAACACTAGCTTACATTATTAATATTTTACTTAAAATGTTTGAATAATAAATGAAAACCAGGATTTTAGGAAGTTTCTTTTGTATATTTCTAAAAAAATCAGACTTCAACTGACTGGCTGAGAGTTTTGCAAATATGACATTACTTTAAGGGTATTTATTATACAGTTATTGTAATATATAATTAATGGATAGGTAGAGGAGGTAGGGGTGGCCCTATGGGTGGTCCCTCAGTAGGGCCTCCCATGCATGACCCACATGAGCCCAGTGGTCCACGACCTATGCCTCAAGGAGCCCTTGCACCCGCACCCTACAAACGAACAAGTGGGCCATCACATGGAGGAGGAGGACTGGGGGAGCACCTAAACGCGAAGGTAGGTTTATTATGCTTATACAGAATACCTTATACTGTATTCTTATTTATTTCATTAATTATTTATTCTACAATTCATCCGTGACACGTAGTCCTTTTTACAATAATTGCTTTGGCTATGTAGGTTATTGATTAAATAAATTAGGTTCCATTTATATAAGCAGTGTTGGCCTAGTGGCTTCAGCGTGCGACTCTCATCCCTGTGGTTGCAGGTTCGATACCCAGCTGTGCACCAATGGACTTTCTGTCTATGTGCGCATTTAACATTTGCTCAAACGGTGAAGGAAACCTTCTTGCCTTAGACAAAAAAGTTGAAGGAGGCTGATCACCTCATCCAACAGGAAAGTGCCTATTAGATTGACATGATCATAAAACAGATGCAGAAATCTGAGGCCCTGACCTAAAATTGGTTGTAGTGCCACTGGTTTATTGAATTTATATTATCACTACATAACACAAAACATTTTATCTCAATTGTAGTGGTATTTTAAAGACCCTAATTATTGAATACATGTTAGTATTTAGTCTTATTGCCATCAACACATTGATTGGGTTAAAAGGTTGACGGATTCATCAGATAATTGTTGGTACAAACCCCCCTTATTAGGAGTCGCTCCTTAATTCGGAAAAATACATTCATGCAATATTCAACTTCTTTATGACCCAATACAGCCTTACCATAACATATTATATATATCTAGGTTTGATGGCCCCCCTGGTGGTGGTGGTGGTGGTGGCAGACCCTCAGCGGGAGGTTACCAGCCATACAATCCAGCCCCACAGGCCAATGGATAAGCCACTGTAAGTAAACACAATTTCAATAAATAATAAATTTAACAAATTTAATAAATAAAAAATATAAACCATTTATATAGTTGTTGGCGCTACTGTGTACTTTCAACATCGGCTGTGTTTTTATGCCAAATTAATTTTATAATCGTAAAGAGATCGTGAATTTAACTGTCAAAGACGTGCATTACGGCTCGCAACGTGTGGACAAAGTGAAATCAAGACACCGGTGACCAGTGTGACCGTTTTAAAAAATGCCAATCTACCAAAACTACAAGGTGCCAGTACTAAATAATACCAAAACACATGCTGAATTATACTAAAAATATACTAAAAGAAAAAGAGGATTTTTTTTATTAAAACACTTATTATCAGATACTTTTTAATTTTACCAATTACACACCTTCATTGTACAGACATATTCAAATAATAATAAATATTTACAATAAGTTTTATTACAAATACTAAGTCAGTATTCGCTGCACTGAGCTAACTGAGCAGATTTAGTGCGTTTGCAGGAAAGGCCTTTGCGATTTCCGAATCATAAAACATTTTGCTGAATAAATCGCTGAGATGATTCATGGATCCATGGCCATGGCCCGAGATGGTATGTTATGTTCTGCCAACGCTGCATAAAATATAAGCTCTGCTTTTCTTACTTTTTCAGATATGGGTTCTTTCATTTGAAGTAATTTATCATCGTTCTGAAAATAAACAGGATTTGATTAATTTGATGAATTTAAATCAATTATACATGTGTGTACATGTACTATCCAAGATTCATCGGACATCCTGAAGAAGTAGGACAATTAATTCATGTGCCATAAAAAAATAAGGGACACAATAATCTTATAAATATATATGTTAATGGGGGCATAGCTTTCTTACCTTGGATTGTCCACTATAACGTATAAGTTTCTATCGATGTTTTTCAGAATATGCATGACTTTTAATTGTAGCGATTCTGCTTAAAAATGTTGCTCCACACGTTTTACACAAGGCGTTCTCATTATTTCTATCTTTTGTCAAACATGACGAAAATTCAGAATTTTGTTCCCACTCAGATCTATATTTCTGATCGCATTTGCGCTTCATTATCTTCACTACACATGCACACAGAGAGAAATAAATAAAGAACTAAAACATCCGTATAACATCCATGTATAAAAAATACAGCATGTAACGTAGATAGTAATACGTAGCCAAAGCACGATTCGCGAATTTGTTAGCATTAACCGTTCGAAAGAGACAAAATGATACATTTGCGGTAAACATCAGACAAAGACAAAAACATGTGAACGAAATACGAACGAATGAAAGTGAGTGTTTCCCGCCCAGCCCAAAAATATATCAAAATGTGTTTTAAAAAGTTGAAAGTTTAAATGTACCAAAAAATACCAGAATATAAAAGGATACCAAAAAATACTAAATTAGTTACACGGAGCCCAAATTATACCAATTTGGTACTGAATATACTAAAGACGTGCATCACGGCCGGTGACCGGACTAATCAAACAGTGTTCAAAACAGCGAAAACAGAATACGCACATACAGTGAGTGACTTTCCGGATGAAAAAGAAACCACAGTGAGTTTGCGTGACTTATTAGTAGTATTACACTTCGTCGAACTGACCGCGACTGTGCAATACCAATTACCAGGACATTTGCCTTCGGAGCTCTGTGATTAGTGGTTTTCAATTTGAAAGACTTAATTATAACCGATAAATAGTGAGTCATCTAACCGTCAAACACGAAAAACATTGCGTCAACACCGCCTCACGAAGAGTACAGGTGCTGCGTCGTCGCACGGAAACTACGAGAAACTAACGCTGCCTACTGGGGAGTGGCAGAACTTCATCCGCTTTGAAATATTGAGCTCAGATATTCCTTAATTGCTCTGCACTTTTAGTTCTCAGCCTTGACATTAGAGGGCGCAAAACTTAATTACCTTCATCGTGCCAGTGCCAAATTGAACCACTAGGGGTCACTACCATTATACAGAAGAAATCAAATCGAGATCTCAATTATTTTACCTAACACAATGGACGAGGTTTTGGCGGCACTTTGCAAAATTCAACTTGAGCTGAACGAACAGAGGAAATTAATAAATAAAAATGGGGAAGAAGTGACAGAAAAAGTAACAACAAATATTTATAAAATTTTGGATGAAAAACTCGGTATTATAGACGAAAAACATGAAAACCTCAAGTTAAGAGTGGAAAGCCAAGAATAAAGAATCGGCTACTTAGAAAAACATGCAAGACAACGGAATGTAGTATTTTTTTGGACTGCCAGAAGAAGAGAACTCCTAATCTAACTTAGAAAATTACACAACAGTCTTCATACATAAATACTTCCCAACAAAAATAGATTATAAAGACCTTGAAGCCATCAGAAGACTGGGAAAAAAGACTGATAAACCGCGACCGGTGGTCGTTACTTTTTCAACACTTGGCACGAAGACTCATCAAAAGACGAGTACGGTATACCGTAACTAAGTAAAAGAAGATTACCCTCAATCAGTTTTACAAATAAGAAGAGAGCTACAAGAGCAAGTCAAAGCTGAATGGGACAAAGGAAACAAAGCATTAATCAAATGCGACAAGATTGTTGTACTAAAGAATAAGCCTACAAAGAGTAATAATAATAATAATTAAGCCTCATTTATTCCTTGAAAAATTTACAAAATAAAATTTACAAAAAGTTACAAAACATACACACACAAAGTTACAAAATACATACATATATATATATTTTGTTTTTCCAAGGACCTCTTATTGAGTATAGACCTTCTCCAATTGACTCCATCTCTCTCTGTTTTGAGCATTTTTCTCCCAATCCTCACCACCAACTTTCTTAAGCTCGTCGGCCCACCGTGCAAGAGGGCGACCACGCTTGCTTTTTCCTGGTGGCCCTTTCCACTTTGTTACCCTCTTTGTCCATCTGCCATTATTCATTCGAGCGGTATGGCCCGCCCATTTCCACTATTTTGCAATAGGACAGTGCATCAATAACCTTTGTTTTGTTTCTTATTTGTGTACTTCTGATCTTGTCCTTCAGTTTTAAATTGTGTATACTGCGTTCCATTCCTCGTTGACAAGTTGTTATTTTTCTATTTGTGTTCGAGTCATATATCCATGATTGGCAACCGTATATATATAACCTACAAAGAGTAACAACAACAAAAGAATTCTCCCGAATTCGCCAGAAAATGCAACAAACACCAAAGATGGAAATAGATCAAATGCAAACTGAAAGAATAAAACCCTAGCAACCTTTACAAAGCAAAGATCCTCAAGCTTGACTGAAAATATAGTAAAACTAGGATTGTTAAACTTCCTAGTTAACAAAAACGATAACAACAATACAAACAAACAAGACAACACGAATAATGCATAGCAACGAGCACTTCAGCCCCTTCCCAAAACGCTAAAAAGATACGAAAACACGAAACACATCTTCCAAGACGGTCACCGGTCACCGCGGAAGAGTATGACCAAAACCCTCCACAATGTTATGAGGATAAAACTCAATTAAAAAACAATACTATGTACATCTGTACCAGAATTAGATCAAGTGCTAGATAAAATAAAGGCAAAATATGGAGGAGGCCTTTACCCGTAACCGGGTACCCAACTAAAGAAACAAATATTTATTTAATATTTTATTATCAACAACTTATGTTTTGATAATAAAATATTGTCATATTATAGTGTATAACACTAATAATAAATTAAGAAAACCAAATACTAACACAGCTAAAGTAATGTTATTTAAGGTTGGCAATAAAAGGCTCTTGAATTTTGAATACTATTTAATGGTCTGTTCAATAATAATTTTATTTGCCTTACAGTGGATTTCATTTATTGTGAATTTAATTGCCATTTAGCTATATATTAAAAGCATACTTTTGTACAAAATTCACATAGCTATAGTGAGCTATTTAATAAATAATATGCAAAACATCCTATCATACTTCTTCCTATTGATAATAGATTTTGGTTAAATAAATAGTATGTACTGTACACATCGTTTATAAGTAAAATTAATATTTCAGTTACTAACTGATATCTGATGTGTATCAACGAAAGCCACCGGCCGACCCATATGCTGCCCCTTCATACACCTCAAAGTAAGTTTTTAACTAACAGCTATTCGATATTGAATGTACATTAGGGTGGGTCAAATATGTATGAAGAAAAAAAAAGTTTGGTTTTTATAGGAGCACAGTGACTAAAAGGTGCTAAATGATGACTGTAAATAGAGTACGGAGTTTGATAGAATTCGGAATTAATCTTCTGCCTCCGGAGTCATGTGAAAATTAAAGAAATATAGTAAAAAAGGGCCATTGCATATTGACAGACAAAGATATTTTTTTTAATTTAAAGACGGAAAATCATAAGAATATTTTGTTTATTAATAGAAGAATATTAAAATAGACTAATAACAATTCTCATTAGCTAAATTATTATTTAATTGAAATGTTAAATTCAATTTAGCTGGGCGTCTATGAATCCCTCTCTTGATGTTTTATCGCATAAAGTGGCTGAAACTTCTGTCACAGCTTTAACGACGTAGTAAATCCGGTTAACCTTCTCGTTTCTGCTCAATAAATAATATACATTTTTTTTCGGTAACAGATTTAATAGCGTGGTTCAGTAAAACTTTCCTGCCAATTCAAAAGGTCGTAGTATGATATTGCGTGTAAATTTAATCTTTGGTACGCAGGGGTTTTAATATTGCTGATCTAACATGAGCTGAACTTTCAAAATTCGAAGTGCAGCTAATTCGCGAATTTGCCGCTCAGGGGCCTTAGTCAAGATGCCTTAACAGTAGTGTATGTAGAAAGTCGAAAACTTAATTTGTATGGAAATGACAGTTCGTGTCGAAAAGTTTTCATACAAATTTAGTTTTTGACGTTCTACATACACTACTGTTAAGGCATCTTGACTAAGGCCCCGGGTCTGTTAACAATGCAAGCATTTTCTGGGTGGGTACTGCCATCAATATGTTGAAACAACTAATTTTGTTTAGTTGTGTCGACATCTATACTACCAATTACCATTTTTATCGCGGATCGTCTATCTACTATGAAGCTGTGTTTTCTTGCAGGAAATTTCAATCCATGACGAAAATCTTCGATCTTAAATATAGGTTTTTTGGGTGAGATTTTAGCAAATTTTTGCATTTTAAATGATATGATTGCAGCATTCTCATTTGTTTAGGTTCAACTGTAGGAATAGAAGATTTCGCCCATATTTCTATTAGTTTTGCAATCACAATACCCTCAATTTCTTTATCTCCCGAATTTTAACTTATGTCGGGTTCACCCATACAATTTCATCACATCTTCATATGTGGGCAATATGTTGTCTTTCTAATCACATAGACTACCAAAAACCGGATAATTCCAACATTTTCTCGTACATTTCATTCCTAATACGTCGTTAAAAAGTGACTGCACTCAATTACGTAATGCGTGCAGCATAGATTGTCTTTGCTATAAGTCGTGCGTTTCTTGTCAAATCTAACACCACACCACACCGGTACCAACCCTTCTTTACACTTTTGTCCTCGAACTTAACAAAACAAATGATGCACTATTCTTTTTAAAAACAAATAAGCGCGAATAAAGATTTAAATAAAGTGAAGAAAAAAATCGCAACATGGGCTCAAAAATTATAATTTTTCTTTACGTATACGTAATTTACACCACGCTGTGCTTGTACGAATAACTAGATTTTTTTTGACCCACTCTAATGTACATACACTACAATTTAGAAGCAACTCCAAGCCCTTTGTTATACCAAACATTTTTTTTTTAATTTCAAGCCGACACAGGATGAATACCCTGTGTCGGCCCCTGTGTGTTCATTGTTTTTAAATGACTGGGCCAGTAAATAATTATTTTAAAACTTCTTGTAAAATATTTATTATTTCCTCTTATGAGCTTTTGCTGCTCAAGTACAATTGGAAGTGGTGTCGCACCTTACAATAATAATTTGAAGTATTGTGCAATGACACAACATTGCATTGAGACTGTCCATGGGCGGAGGCTTCAAACATCAGATGTGCCTCCTGCCTGTTTGTCCCCTTTTCTATAAGAAATATTTAGACAGTTAAGTTCAAGGGAAACAAATTCTTTAATTGACAATGTCATTCCATATATTATGAGAGATTCAATTTACTAGTTTAGGTATTTTGTTTATTAATAAAAAATTGGCACGTTCTATTTCCAATACATACTTTTATCATAAACATAATATGTTAATATTTATCATATTATGATGAGACTGTTTTGATAGGAATTGCCGTCTCATATATAGCTGCCGATATAAACAACAGTACTGATATTTGAAAAATAAACAATAAAAAGAGAAAATAGATAGACCTGGTATTCATAATATATATCTCGCAGCTCCTATCAAGGAGGCAGTTACTCATCTCCGGCTCCAGCGCCAGCTTCGACGGGATACAATTCGGGCTACGGCTCTAATTATGGCTACTCAACAGGCCAAGGGGGATATGAAAATTATAGTTACAGGTAATTTTCGTATTTTTAAGAAACTACAAATAGATTTTCATAATAATAATAACTTCGACTCCACACAGACACTTGTAGTATATTCCTTCCTTTTGTAAAACGTTACGATTCGGGGCGGGGATTGAATAATTACGCGTTATTGCTAATATTATTTTCGAGTTTCCAGTACTTTACGCCACATAAGGGTAACTTTTAGGTATAAAGAGAGGTGGTCACGAAACTTTTATTATACTTGGGTACAGAAAACTTTTTATTATACATGGGGGGGGGTCAATAATCTCCAAAAAATTGCGTGACGTAACCAATTTTTGTTTTAATGTTTTTTTACTCGTTTAAAACAAATTCAGACGATTTTGAACTCCCAAAGTAGTATATGTATTGTGTTCTCGTTGGTTTGGTTAATTTGTAATAGTTTTATTAAAAAAAATTTAAAACTTGAAATATAGTTTTTTTTTAAATTGTGTTTATTTAAAGCCATGTTTGTACAGACTTGATAACACTTTTGTTATTCTGTTCTTCATAACTATAAATGTTTCAGTAATTCTGGTGGGGCCGGAGACGCGGGCTACGGAGCCAGCGAACCGGCCTACACGGCCCAAGAATACGACTCGACCATACGAGCCCGTATACTCATACCAACAATTACTAGTTTAATAATAATCCTTAATTGAGTCTGCTTTTGTACAACTTATAGTCCTTGCTTAAAAACCTTTTCTCGCATGTTGCGAAGAATTATAATATCTTTGGCAGTCTTTATGAAACCATTCGCTAAATACCTCTCTCGTGACCCAACTTCTAATTTGGTTCTTGTACCAGACTGGCAGACAAATGTTCTTGAAAGCTCTGGGATTTGTTACTTTGCCAATCACTAATTAATCCAATTTGTGCGTTCCACCAGTAGCATTTGAACACGGCATGAATGTGATTCTATATCTACTCACTTTACGACCTGGTGCACTTGCTTCTTTAGAAGATACGAATGTTTTATTGGGCAACAGTCTCCAGAACAGACCACTCTAGTCTGCGTTATAGATTTGAGTCAAGAAGAAGACCCAGTTCTTCTACATTGTTTTTAAAATGCTGAATAGATGGCTGTACTGCAGATTCGTCGCTTGATAATTTCTCACCAGATATGGTTAATAGACGGATACCAAATCGTTTTTTAAATTTATCCAGCCATCCATCGCTGGCACGAAAATAATCTTTGTGGGTAATTTTTTTATAAAATTCGATTGCTTTGGCTTTCAAAATTTCTCCAGGTATAGGAGTGCTCTCAGAAAATTCCTCTTTACATTGACAGTCTGAGTGTTTACTAGTTTCAGTACTACTTTTTCGTTTTTTTTTGTTACAATGTTTACAAACTTTGTGGAGATGGCTGCGCTTCAGCTTCTTTTTAGAAACCAAAGAGCAGTCAGAATCCATACCGGATTCGTTGGAAATCATGATAAATGCAACCGCGGGGAGCGCCGTGCCCCCCGGGTCCGGAGGCTCGTTCATAAAAATCCGAAAAGCTTACCCCAACTCGAAGAAAGTAGAAGAAAATATAAATAATAATACAAATTACAAATATATATGTTAACGTAAAATTGTAAATACCGTTAGATTGTAATCTATCTCGCGAGATTATAAACTGTCGAATGATTGTGAACTCAACGTACTGCTTACAATTTAACGTGTTATTATTCGGTGGATTATAATCTATCGAAGTGAAATCGTCAAACTGTGAAACGGTACGCACCTCGCGCGCTGATTGGTTGAACGGAATATGCCATGGTGGCGACCATATTTGTTTGTTAATTCGTTTGTTGTCGAATGTAAACAAATTTTTTACTATTTTCATTATGCCCGCTGTAATAGTTTTGTAACTCTATGGTAAATTCTTCCTTATTAACAATACCTAATATTTCTGAGTTTTGTTGATCGACAGGCTCAATATCCGACATTGTAAATACGAGATCACAAAGGTTCACGCGAATAAAAAATATTAAAACACGGAAAATGTATGTAATTTAGACTATGTTTGGAGACCAACACTAACTTAATTATCATTCAAACTGCACTTCTTTGGTCAATCACAGATTAATTTTACTTCCACAACATTTTCATATAACTTTTGACTATAAGATGTTTTATAGTAAAACGTAAACGTATCATCTTTAGTAAATTTAAGAATTTTTACATCATTCCAAGTCACATTGGCTTTATTTTCATTTTCACTAAAGTTATAAGCCCATTTCTCTTGAAACATCTTTAAGTCCCAAAAAAAATCATACGTTAATTCTTGAACAATCAACGGTTTTCCGTTTTTTCGCGAATTTTTTATTAAAGTGACGTATTGACAAGGTGCGTATATGGGTCCAGCCTTTTTATTCCGTTGGATTTCCTTTTCAATGAGGCTGTGGACGTTGTCCCCTTCATTTTGGGTATGACCCTTTATTAGGTACTTTTGGGTTATAGACTGGATGTTCTCAAAATGTGATACTGCGTAGGAATATAAGCAAGCTACATATTTATTTTTGTTTTGTCCGCAGCAATTGTCGGAATAAAACGTAACGTGAATAGCCTGACCCTGATGTCTTACATTTAAAATCTCCAAATAATTAAGAACACACGATCCGATCTCGCTAGATCCGCGTTTCCCCTGAGTTTCGTCCCAGAAAAAACTGTAGACGTCTCCATAAGCTCCAATATCACGTTTGTGTACACTTTCTGTATTTTCCTCCAAATTGTTCTCTTTTCTTTAGTAATTCCACGATTGTAAAGTTGAGGCAATTCAGTTTTGTTTTGTAATAGAATGAAGACGAATCACCGCTAGGACATTGCATTACTGCTTGCAGGTCGAACACTGCACAAATATGGGTTTCATCAATGTTGAGTCGATCATTATGTTTCTCTTTTCGGGATAAATCTTTTTCTTTTAAATGACGATCATATTTTTCTTTTAGTTGTAGTTTTTTTTCTGGAGAAACTAGTTCATATTCAAAACATAGGTCACATCTGTCTTTCTTGGGTTGGAAAAATCCAATATTAAACTCTTTTGTGAAAATGTCATAATATAACCAATATTCACATGTAGCTTTTCCTGCGTCGCGTTGATCTTTATCAAAATCTCTCCAAAGATCCATTATTGTTTTCTCTCCACTTATATATTCGCGAGAAGTTGAAGACCTTAAATAATGCGATTCAATCCTTGGTATCCAATTAATGTGGTTCTTTATATCTTGTAGGATTGCTGGTTCTATCCTTTTTCTATTCTGGTTTTTACCTCGGTTATCTTTCTCTATGAAACCTTGCCCATCTGTCTTCTTTTTAACAGTTCTTATTTGCCTGTCACATATACCTAACGTGTTTATAAAAAAAAGTTTTGCAAACTCTAATTTTAGTATCATTAACTGTAAAATAAAATGCATTATATTAGGCTGTCTTGGTCTAGCTGCATTTGTGTATTTATATTTTGGTTTTACTTCTATCATGCAATTTCTAACAAAAGATCTCTGTAATTCTACGTTTCCTAGTGCCCAATATGTTTTAAATAATAGATTTCTATCGATCTCATTTATATTATCGACACATTTGACTCTACATTTGCTGGTACATGGATCTTTTATTGAACGAGCAGGAACTATTTTTTTAGATTTAGTGTTAGAAACATATTCTTTCCCAGTATTTCGCAAAGTTTTTGCAACAATTTGTTTCCAATTGTTGGGATTTCGTAGACGTTTGCGGGATTTCTTTGGACCTTCCACAACAGAAGCATTAACATTTTCGGGTTCACTGTCTGTAGTATCAGATGATGAGGAACTACTCGACGCAGATACTCTGAACTGCACCCCCAAGACGTGAACGAGGTCTATTTGAATACGAAGGGTCATCGTCACTCAAGTCTGCATCACTTTCGTTCGAATGAATAGGCGACTCACAATAATTTTTAGATGGCTTTGTAGTGTTACGATATGTACCTGTAGAGGTTGAGGGTTCACCTATATTTGTATTCGACTCAATTGTGTTACCATTATGGAGCGGGCTACTGCGACTGGAGGAAGATGAGCTACTTGAGCTAGAAGACGAGGAACTGCTGGACGATGACTTGCTGCGAGCTCGCCTAGGCAGTTCATTTTCTAGTTGGTTCTGTCCCTGTGTACATTTCAGAATGTCCACTTCATCTGCCGCAGGTTCCTAAAATGTAACATTTTAAAATGAATACTTAGTTAAAATTATGTGTAATCTCATGTGTCTACATCATGTGTGACTCTTATGTCTTAAGTATACTACGTACACTAATTTAATAAAAAAAACATAAATTTATTTACCGTTACAATAATTTTATGTGTAGCTTCTATTGGCTGAGAATGGAATTGTTCAGTATTAACCTGAAAGCATAATTATCAAATAAGTGAGTATGCAATTTATTTCATGGCATTAAATAATGATTAACGTAATGAGGGACCAACCCTAGGTATGTTCCCTTTGCCATCGCAAAGTTCGTGTGCATGATTTGGTAACAGCACCCTTTTTTCAGGTGTGCCTTCTATTATTGATGGACTAGATGGCCGGGAGGTATCGCTTTCATACTCATTCTGTAAACATCATAACCACTATTAACCTTCTTAAAGCTGGGTGTACCTACTTACCGTACCTACTTAGTTATAAAACTAAAAAGAAAATTATGGGAAAAATAAAAAATTAGGAAAATACATTAACATTTAGTTACCCGAGTCAACTTTCGTTTTCTTTTCTCAATAGAATGAGGAATGTTCTCTTTATTAATTTCATCCTGTAATGATAAAGCACAAAAACATAAACATTTCATATCCTACTTACTGTGATGCATTTCCGTAAAAACAATATCTAATAAATAGAAACAAGGAATAGGTATATAAAATTACAAACCGCGTCACTAGATTTCCGCATTTGGTCCAAGGGCCAACTTACATTTTTGTAATTGCATGGTACTACGTCCACCTGAAAACGTCTAAGATAATTACGATAACTGTTCGAAAAACCACTAAATGCAATTAGTGTAATGTAAACATAAAGAAATAACCTCTTTTTGCTTATTTATTTGTAATTTCTCAAATATTAAGTCTGCTCTTCTCTTCATTTTTATTCTTATCTGAAACAAACAGGTCTACTAATATAGTTTAAGTATTCGGTATTTAGGAAATACAGAGTCCTAAATCTTATTAAGGAAAGTAAAAACACCCATATTATATAATTATAAGGACTCATTTAATAAAATAGCTCATTTATTTGTCGGCAAATTAGTGTAGTAATGACACATTTTGATGTAAAATGTATTGAACTCCTTGTTTTTATTTTAAAAGGGGCTCAATTCTGTTTAGTCCTTGTCACTATTCTTATGTTTAAGTATTAAAGGGACCTAATTACAATGAGTACTATATCGCCGGCTCCGGAGAATAAAATGATAAATGCAAAATCACAACTTTACAGGAAAATTAAAAAACCGTTTTAATAAGATTACTTCTTTTGGGTCCTAGGTAGGAACTTGGGAGTTAGCTTAAATGATAGCTAATTTTTAGTGTTATCTCTATACTAAGTTGAAATTTTGAAAGATTCCACTGAACTTGAGATATTTAGGAAATAAAAGAATAGACTAAATTTAACAATAACATGTGTTGCTAACATGCACTTATCATTTTTTTCTCATTTA